TAAAGATATAAAAAAAAAAATACTGACCCGACAAAATATGAGATGATGAGAAGTTGCACCAGCCGGTTAATGATCCCCACAGACCAGCTCTTCACCACCACAGACTTGTTGGTCTCGTAGGTTAAGAAGCTGGTCATGAAGTTCCACGCGTGGGAAGTCATGGCTGTAGGGATTCTTTATTCTGGGTGTTGAACCTAAACCTTTGGAGATCAAAATGACTCTCTCCTGCTTCTAATGCAAAGATCGGAAAAGTAATGATTTCCTTGGTGTGTCTTCTTCTCTGAAAATTATGTTCTCTCTCCTCTGTGTCATTGGTTAATGACATAAATCAGACCTCCCCCTCTTTACTCAAAGGAGTAAGAGGAGGATGTCTCTTTCCCTCTTGACCACAAATCCCAATTTCCCATGCCGCTCTCCACATCTCTGGTGGAAATACATAAACACTTAGCCAGAAGCACAAATCAATAAACCATATTTGCACATTAATTCTTTGCCAGTGTATCAGATTCTTCTTGTAGATTTCTCATATTTTTCTCCTTATATCTTCAATTAGATGTCAGTAATTGTCTTAAAAAGACACCAACAGTTATTAAAAAGCAGATGCATCTTCTTCTCGTCCAAACTTTCTGTTTTTCATTACAGAGCAACTAACTCTAATGTATTTTATTTTGATTTTGAGCAATGAAGATGGGAATAATAAGGAAGTGAAAAAAGAAAATATATATTTTTATACCGACTTCCAAATAAAATGAAACTGTGAAGGACAACAAGGGGGCTCAATTCATACCCAAACTGCCTATGTAGTAGAGTTATGTAGTTTTATGTTTTAGTTGTTTTTTTTTTTTGGCGTAGAACAATGTTTGTTGGAGGTAAAGTTTCCAGTTCTAATACTTTTTAGAGCCACCTTTGGCTGAAAATTGAATTTCTAACGATCTTTCTCCTAGTATTACTTGTATTTTGCTTCATTCATATTTCAATCCAACCAGCTTCCATTTGCCTGCAAGAGAAAACTGTTTCTGCATGTAGGTAAAAAAGAATCCACTTTGGAATCGAAGCAGAGCGCCTTTATTTACATGCTTACTTTCTCCTCTGCACAGATGAATGCTGCTCACTTCTTCATACAACATCAGATTTTTGGAGTGTAATAATTGTTGACATGCAGTTCATGATGTGAGTGAAATGCTCACATCATGAACTGAAATACTCATCATCATGAAATACTAGTTTTGTATGCAGTGATATATATATATATATATATATATATATATATATATATATATATATATATATATATATATATATATATATATATATATATATATATATATATATATAAGCTGTGGGGAAAAATAAGCTATAAAATTAAAATACATTTCTAATAAGTCTATTCTTAATCTATAATTATTATTTATATCATTTCATTGCATCTTTAATTATTCATTTTGAAGTATAACACAGCCACATTATATAATGGCATGGAAAAACGAAAGACACACAGGAAATGTTTAATGTGAGCACTCAGAGCTAAAACTCAACATGCATCCATTTAACTTTTTACTTTTAGAAATCTATATATGAACTATAAAGAAATTGAACTTATGGTTAACAAGGAAAGAGCCTAAAAGCAATGTAATATAGTATAAATTAATAACAATTGGTCATATGATATAGGGCCATTTCTAGACACACTCTGGGACAAGAAACATTATGGACTCTCACATCAGCGATAATGTAACTGAGTGACACTGAGTGTTTTCCTCTCTCTGTGCGCGTCTCTGTATGACAGCATGTCATTTTTTAACTACTCTCCATTATGTTGAGGTCTTCTAACCTTCTATGGAAATAAAAACACGTGCAATGGAGATCGGAGGGGCACAAGCTTTGGAGATGAAAGTAGTTGCAATGTTTATCACCCAGCATGGTGTGTTATTGTGCTGGCTAATTATATTATATCACTTGCAAAAAACATAAAACCAACACACAAGAGCAGATAAAAAAAAAATGATACAAAAAGAAATGAGAAGAAATAAACAGATTTAACTCCCTGCAATGAATTCAGATCTGTTATGAGGTAGCGGGCCTTAGGTCTGTCTGTTTGTCTGGCAAAGTTGACTGAAAAGAAAACATAAAAGTTATTTAAAGTACCTATAGACTTTAATTGATTTAACATGTTGCCAAAGGCAAAAATAAAAGAATATTACACAATAGATGTTCTATGAAAATATATGCTTTCTTTCTATCTAAAAAAAAAAAAAAAATCTAGTATGCATACTTGCATTGCAGGATATAATTATGACAATAAGTTATTCAAATGTACACCAACATGGTTGGACATGCCTATGTATAAACACAACCCCGTGGTCCTTTGCCGCATACCTCTCCCCCTCTCTCATACCCCCTTTCCTGTAAGCCTACTGTCGAAAAATCGAGCCACTAGTGCCGTAAATACAAAAAAGGAAAGCTTTTCTTTACAAATAGAACCTGCATTTGGTAAGGTACTAATAAAAAGAGAAAATAAACATGGGCCAAGAATTGACCACTGTGGAACCCCAACATTGGAGTCTAAGCAAGGAGATGTCACCCTATTCACCACTATAAACAGTTTCCTATGGGACAGTTATGAACTATAAATGTCTGAAATGAGTGACTGGACATACTAAGGCCTCCTTATACTCTTTTAATAAAAATTGGCTAAGCCCATATGCATCCAGTTCATTAGAATGTTTAATGCTATAAATGATTTTGGCTACTTCATAGTGTAGTATTGCATAGTGCTGAAAAGGGACTGGTCCAGATCAATGATATTTTCAATACAGACAGATCGCGTGAAGCACTGTTTAATCTCCTGCACAGAATTTCTGAAGAAATTGTTCAGATATATGTGGAAAGGGGCCCTCTGACGATAAAGTTCTTTATTTTAAGCTCCATATCCTTGTAATTTTTTTACTTGTTGTCAATCAGCTTATTGGGGCTTAAAATTTCCCCTTGCCTTCTTGATGACCTTCATGAAGAAGTTTGTAGGATGGAACTATTGAAATCTCGTAGGACTCTAAAAATAAATATTCGGGATGCAGCTAATTTCATCAGGGGATGTAGTATTTAGAGTTAAGCTTACAGTTTGTAATAGTTTCAAAAACCACTTCTCCCCAATTATTTGCTATTGTTTTGGTCCATCATATAAATATATGAACATGAATTTCTTTCTCTGTGCAAAACGACAAGTCCTCTGACCTCTAATGTCTGACTGGAATCCCTCAACTCATTAACCCCCATTATGTTAGAGGATATAAAACAAGCTATTAAAGCTTTATTACTTAAGGTATTCCTCCAGGATTCACAAACCTGAAGCACATTAGGAAATTTAACCAGGCAGGATGGTTTGGGCGTGATGGTGAAGGTTGTAGAGACAGTGGCTTCAGACAAAAGCCCAACGCCTGAGTGGAAGGTGGTTTGGAGTGTGGTTTTTAAGAGCCAGACATCAGTGGATGTGATGTTAAGTGCTGGTTTCATTGACAAGGCACCTCCAGGAGGAACCCAGCACAGGAGTCCACTGTTTTTCATCACCAGATACAATATTTCAGTCATTTTCCCTCATAATTCTGATGACTTTTTGCCAGCTGATTTGTTTACCTTTATTTCTCAAGAAAGTTAAACGTATTAAAATGCTGAACGTGGTTATATTGATCACATTGAAACTTTAAACAGGACACTATCCGATCAGAATAAACTGAATTTGAGGTATTGGTGTATGGTTTGTCCGGTTCAGTGGGGAGCAATGTTTTCCAGTCAGAAGGTTGTGGGTTTGATTCCAGCTCTGTCACCCTGGGCAAGGCACTTAACCCCAATCTACCAATATGTTTAATGGTTTGTAAATGTAGCTGTAGTGTAATGGGCTGGAGGTGGTCAGCATGACTAAAAAAAGTGCTTTAAAATATTCAGACCATTTCAGCTGCTCTATTTTTTCTCCCGAGTTGATTTTTTAAAAAACAGTAATGAACTTCAATCATGTTTTCATGCATTTGCTAAAACGGAAACGTCTAATGATCAATGCTGCATTTTTGCTAAAAGTGTGTACAATTTGTTTTGATAGAAAGGAATGCAAAATAATAGACAATGATAACATACTAGTTATAAAAACAAAGCAAGTCAAATAAATGCATCAAATAAAAACCTATCGGAGCAGCAAAGGGAGAGTGGGACCATGTCTCAGAGCAACAACCTGTACATGATCTCTAAGGGTTAGTACCACCTCTGTAATTTGGCTCTAGGATACCAGATTCCAAGAAAGATGGTCTAAAAGCTTCATAATGTATTGAGGAGCCTGAAAATGGACTGTCCTAAAGGCTGAAACCACAATTCTTAAAATAAACCACAAGTGCACAGGAAGTAGGTGCAGGGAGGCCAGAATTGGAGTTAAGTGTGCTCTACTGGTTAGTTTTTGTCAATAGCTTCACTGCAGCATTCTGAAGGCGAGCCTATGAGGTTTCAGTCAAACGAGCAAAGATATATATAATGGCTGAAATGAAAGGAAATAAAAAGCATTTCAAGTTTAGTTTGATGTAAAAGATTTCTTCGCTCAGATATCTTTTTTTTTTCCATCCATGTTTCAGTATAAAAATCCCCAAAATGTTTTGGAAATATAAATTCCCTTGGATCAAATCCAATTATCCAATTTCATTATTAAGCACTTGAAAAAACCCCTACAGCTGACCAAAGTGCTCCTCCAATACCATTCTGTATAAATTGGGCCACAAGTTAACTGCATCTCTAGTAATTCTGGGGGAATTTTTGAAACTTGTTTAGGGGTAGACCCCAGGATCAGAAATGTATCCACCATTCCTGCAATCGACCAGCTAACAACTATAAAATAACCGATAGTAAGCTTGTCCCTAATTGGTTTAAGGTACATAAGTCATTTCAATTAGGGCACAATGGATAAAAAAACCAAAAACAATAAAAGGTCGTGGAAGAGCATTATTAAAACATGACAAAACAAATACTTTTTTTTCTAAAAATCTGTATTTATTTTGGCCTGAAAACATGACATAGGAAAACAAAAAAACAAACAAAAAAAACTGCAAAGAGCACTAAACCAGAGGAAAGAATCGATCCTCTTTAGCATTGAGCAGCTAATATCTCCTACGATCCCCAGTGCTACGTAAAAACAGCCATTCTCATGGGATGGATGGGAAACCCTCCAAGTATCCCATCATTTCATTGAGCCATCGGGACACTTGCCCAAATATCACCTTGGATGAGTTTCCACACGTCGTCACGAGAGACGCCATTGTTTAAATGCGGTGAAGGAAAAAAAAAAAAAAGTTTGTCGATTGGTCTGAAATCAACAGAGTGAAAACAGTTGGTCCTTGGTTTGTTTCTGATCCGTGTCTCTTCAGTCAGACTCCTCGTCTGAGCTGGCAGGAGTGGAAGCAGCTTCCTCCTCCTCTTCCTCTGATTCCTGTGTAAATTAAAGACAAACAAGAACCAGGATTTTTTTATTTATTGGTGCAAACTTTGCAGAACAGGATCCCCTTACAAATCAATTGGTAGCCTAATTTTGTTCCTTTATGCAGTTCAACTGGTGTAGCACTAATAAATGATCTGTTATGATTCTCTAGTTCAGTTTCATTAGTAGTCGAAGATCTGTTCTGTTCTTGGTGATTGCTTAAAGAGATATTCGTAAAGCGCGCTGTAATAAAAGGTGATGTTTAGATCCACACTGGAGAATCTTGTCACTTATAGAAATTAAATAAACAGCCAATTAAAACAGCTGTTATGTAATGCACTGATAGATGATGCCCCCTGCGTGCCTTTACTTAATCCCAAGCATGAAAGCATGGGAGATTGCAAGGCTTTGATGATCGATTTTAAAGTTTTCAACTGAATTCCTGACGCTTTGTCCTTTAAAGATTATCTTTCACAGCCACTGAGTTGCACAGATGCACTTTGAAAATTCACTGCATGTGACCAGTTATTAAAAACTCAAGGTTTTCCCTAAAAACTTATTGGTTTTTAGTCTCTACATCAAGAGGAAAGAGACTGACTGGGTTAAAAAGCTTCAACAATTTATAAAAATCAGACATGTTGTGAAGAAGTGGCTGTTCTGGAATATAAAAAGACAGGTGTCTCCGCATCTAACACAAAAAGAATGAAAAATAAATCCTTCATAAAGCCCTTATTGTTTGATAAAATGAGAACCAAAGGCAAAATGAAAAACATTAGCTCTGCCGGACTAATAGCTGTGAAAAAGACCTCAGGGATGAAGTCAGAAAGTAGCAGGTTTCTAAAAAGCTGAAGTCCAGGGTCGAACATTCTAGCAAAACTAATGAGATAATGCTGGATAGTATCTAAATGCCCCTGAAAGCTAATGGAGCTCAAAGCACACGCAAACAACAGGGATTTTGTAACATCCAGTAGGACTTTAACTTAGTATCAGTAAAGCTCAGTTTAGCACGACTCAGAGAGGTATTACAGCAATAAAAATCAATCAAGATGTTTTGATATAAAGAAAAGCTGACAGTAAACCTGGAACACATAAAAAAGGAAATCAATAATTAACTGATTTATTGGAATCAGTTTTCTGTGACCAGAGTGCTGGTTGAATATTCAGGTGTTTTGTGTTTTTTCCCATTACTGCGTCCTCCTGCAGCTGGTCTGATAATAATCATACCTTCTTCTTCTTCTTCTTGGACTTGCTCTTGTGGTCGGAGTCTGAGGAGCTATCCTCGCTGGTTTCGATGAACTCTCGGCTCTTGAAGCTTTCGTTGCCCCCCCGTTCCTTCTCCTTGTCGCCACCACTGGACTTTCTCTTCTTGTCTTCGTCCTTTTTTCCACCCGATTTTCTCTTCTCTCTAAAGGGTGAAGGAGTAGCGGGACAATCAAGGATGTAATACATACTTCTTTTTTTTTTAAAGGAGTAGCTTCAGTAAAATAAGCCTTACTTCCTGGGACTAGAGACAGCTCCTCCACTTTCTTTGTACTCCTTCTTCAGTTTGTCATATTGCCTCTTTGCCTCCCCTGCCTTTGTTTCCCATTCCTGAAAAAAAAAAAAAATGTCAGAAGGAGATTTAATGTTATTTACTGAAGTGTTGCTAATATCAATCAGAAATCCAAATTATGATGTTCTCTTCCGACAGTCCAGCTCTCACCTCCTTCTCATCTTTGCCAAGCTGTCTCCACATCTCTCCGGCCTTCTTAGATATCTCTGTGATGGAGATGCCAGGGTTCTCTGCTTTGATGCGTTCCCGGCTGGAGTTCAGCCAAAGCATGTAGGCGCTCATCGGCCTTTTGGGACCTCCTGTGTCCTTCTGCTTCTTCTGCTCAGACACAAAAAATAAAACAAAGGAAAAATGTTGCCTTTATTCTGAAATGCATCTGATGTTTTTATTCCCCTGCTGCTCTCTCACCTCTTTGCGTGGTTTCCTTTCTTTTTTCTCTTTCACGACTTTAGGTTTCTTGGCTTTTTTCTTCTTTGCGCTTTCGTCTTCGCTATCTTCGCCTTCTTCACTGCTGTCACTTGCTGAAGCATTGCTGTCATACCTGATTGAATGTAAAAAAAAAAAAAAATGGAAGAAGTCCTGAAAATGCAAGAAATGGGTATGACGGTTTGAAACACTGAAGAAAATCACTTACTCTTCTGCAATTTCTTCATCTTCCTCCCCAGGGTTGAAAGACTCGTCTAAAGAGAAACGATCAGAGGCTTAACATATTTCCACACCAACTCCAGATGTTCAGCTGCTTAAACGGCATCTTACCACTTCCACTTCCATCTGAATCATCGCTGTCGTTGCCTTCCTCCCTGATCTTTCCCTCAGCCTTCATTCTCTCCAGGTAGGCGTCATGCTGGTCTTCATCGGAGTCACTGTACTCGTCTATCTTGCCCTTCATGCCCTGAAATCACAAATCATAGTCAGGAAAAGGCCGCAATGGACCAATAGAAGTCGACCACCATCATTAGGAATCAGTTAGAGAAAATACCCCAAAGCGACAGTCTGAGAACCAGTTAAGAAAGGAAGGAAGAATTTCTTTCTGAATGTTAATCACAGGAAAAATATCTACTCCCAATAAAATTCAGTCAAAAAGAAAGGTCTGATCTAACAGTGGAAAATGTCAATAAAATATGTGTTAAAATAATGACGCACTGATATTGTAGCTTAATTTAACATAATTTTTCAGAGCATGAAAAATACAAATTAAGATTTAGCAAAGAGATAAATGACAAAAAAAATCCTATTGTTCTTACGAAGCTAGATCTCAGAGTTTCTTTAATTTCATTAGCAGAGATACACCAACCAAACAGCCAGAGATCAGATGATCATTTTTCTCCTGATATGTTAAGAGACGTTTAAATAGAGATTTTTAAAAAATGCTTTCCCAAATCATTACATGCATTACAGCTCCCGCCACAGTTGGTTAATTTGTACATTGGTTAGCAGCGGGTGCTTCACTGCATTTTTTATTTTGTATAATAAACATTTCAGATGCACCGATCTGGGTTCAGCTGGCCAATCAGTCTGTTCTCTGTGATCTGGTCTGCAATCAGGAAGAGCTGAACCGCTTAAGATTCACAATCTATCTGTCCAAAGGTCTGCAGCATGCAGCTCTTTGGAGCTTCCAATCGTGTTTTTAGTACACCGAGATGAAAATATAAATTTTTTAAAACATAGATGCAGGTTTTTAATCTATTTTAATTGAACTTGTTACTCAAGTTCCACCAAAGCATGACGAGAAGCACCATTAATCATTTCTTAGAGCTTTCCGTCTCCTCATTAGTTTGGAAGCTTGGAGCTAATCTATTTCCATTATTTTCCAGAAATAGAACATCCCAGGGTTTTAACATAAAGGATTTCTTAAAATAGAGAAATTCACCTTTATTAGGTTTTATTGGGAAAACTTAAAAAAAGACCATGGGCTAAATTATGTTGACAGACAAGCTGTTTGGGAATCCTTCCAAAACTGAAAACTTCACCTCTTTCTGCTGAGGAAGCGCATGTGTTGAACTGACTGCATCACACAAGACCTATCTCATGTCTGTCTGTGCAAATATGGACAAAAATCTGTTCACAAACAATGTTTTACTCATTAATATTCAGTGTATTGTCCATATTTATGTGATTTTAAAGTCCAACAATGCACTAAAGACAGAGCGCAGATATCGGTCAAAGCTGATAAAACTGAGCATATCGATCTTATATCTTTTTTTCCTAAATATTAGCTTTTATTAATTTGAAAACCTTAAAATAACAAGTGTGCTACTGTAGAAATAAAAAAAAAATGTATACTCGATATTTATTTATTAAAAATTAAAAGTTGCATAATGCTACATTAAGATTGGGGGCTCTATATAACGTAATTAGTTGGACTGGGGACCAGCATGGCTCTTTAGGTTGCAAATGTTGCAGACCGCTGTCCTACAGGCTGTTTGGGTTTTTTATTGTCTAAATTTTCTTTAACTTTCCTCATTTGTTAAAATTTAACCCTGACCCTTTTTCTTTCTGGGGAAATCCGGGAAATCCTAGTTGAGTCGATTTTAACCACGGTTAGACGCAGAATGACAACTAAATCAAATGAACTTTTACAGGCCACTAAAAGGCTTGGTGCCTGAAGCTGACATTTAAAACATTATGGAGTCTCAGTCTGGCTGTTTTCCTGGCCCACATGGTTATTCCCATCTCCATGCATCTTTATCCATGTCCTGATGGCTGACAGAAACACCCAGTCAGAAAGGCTCCCATTAAAAGAACAGGAAATGGAGAGGAGCTCCATTTGTTCTCGTTGCCCTCCTCTGCTGACTCCATCACCATGGCAACAGATGATTAGAATGTAGGAGAAACTGTTTTGGTAAATCTGTGAGCCAGCGGGATATTGTCCGTGTCAGCAGAACATTAAAGACGGAGCAATCAACATGTTAAACACCAAAAAGCCCCTCAGGCAGCACATTAGTCAGAACAATGCAAACACACACAGTTATCCGAGTGATCAGCCTCTCACACACAGAAACTCCTGATCCGCGTCTCCCATGATCAGCGGCCAATAGAGACCACTTAAAATCAACCAAGTAAATTGGACAAAAATGATCCCGCGGAATCCTGCAGCACTCCATGCAATCAGAAATCACTCCACACAAAATCAACTCCAGCATCCACACGAGGCGCCCATAACCATACCCACCTTCTTCTACAGGAGGTACAGACAGACACAAAGGAGAAGGGCGACATGAATGAATATCTGCATCGCAAATCTGACAAGGCTGGTTGGATATTTTGGATACAGAAAACAGGATGAGTTGACTTGCTCATAAATTACCTCTTTGAACCCTCTGTTCTTGATGTTGAGCTTCTTGGCGTTAACAAAGTCAAACAGTTTGCCATACTCCTCCCTGCAAGAAAAAAAATACTCTATGATTAATATAAACACACAACGCAGTTAAAGAGAAGTAAAAAAAAAAAGAAAGCTTAGAAACTAATGAGATGATGATTGTACACTCAGTATTTTTGCATTGCTTGGAATCAACAAACAAAACACAAGTTTGCAGAATAAAAAGAAACATCAAACAAAAACGGTTCTAACAATGGTTGATGTGGATCTCATTTACTTACATTTTTAGCTCATTAAAATAAAATGATACCATCTGTAAACTTAATTATAAAGACATCTTTTTTCATAGTTACAAAAATAAATAAATGAATTGATCTTTATTGATCTCACATTTGAGAAATTAACTCTCTGCATTTAACCCATCTCCTTTGGGCTGCCACTGTGCAGCACCCAGGGTCGTGCAAAGACACCCAGAGTGGCAGTCTGTGTGAGTGGGTTTTGAATTCACAACCTCAGGATTACAAGCCCTATGCCCTAACCACCGATGTTTGATCAGTAATGAGCCTGGTGGACTTCTTAACACTAGTATCTTTTAGAGCAGGGGTGCTCAAGTCCAGTCCTCAAGAGCTACCATCCTGCAACTTTTTGATGCACCCCATTTTTAACACACCTCAATCAAATGAGTGGCTCATTACCACACCTCTGCTGGGCTAAGTGAGGGGATTGAGCCTTTTGATTCAGGTGTGTTAAAGAAATGCATCTAAAAGTTACAGGATGGTAGCTTTTGAGGACTCGACTTTAGACCTTCTCTGTTTTAGAGTAACTGCTCTAAGTCCCAGTGAGGCGGCCTCACCTCTCAATGCTGCTGAAGGTGTACTGGTTTCCTTGCTTCGTCTCAATCTCAAAGTCAAAGGACCTGGTTGTAGTGGTTCCTCTGGCGAAGTTGACGCAGGAGATTTCCTCAAAGCGCAGGTGAACTGGGGGCTTGTGGACGTAGATGAAGCCCCTCTCCAGAGGATAAAGGAGGCCTGATGATGCCTTGTAGGAGCAGGTGATGCACTGAGCACCAGAGTGGCTGCAGAGGAGGTCAGACATAGAAAGTGAACCAGTTTTTATTAAGATCTCTTCATTGTAAGATACAATCTTTCATAGATGCTTACCCTTGGAAGTTTCCGGGTACAGTGATTTTGCGGTTGACCAGGGCCTTCATCACCCTGCTGACCATCTCGTAGAGAGAGCCCGACATGTTTTTACTGAGTTTGCCTTCAAAACGCTTTTCCACATCCTCCCTGTTGTGAGAACAGAACACACACTGGAAGTTTTATGGGATTTCTTAGGAGAAACTGGTAATAATTTAGAGAAGGCATGAAACTGCTCCTTTAGGACTCTGGTGCCCCCTGGTGGAAAACAGTCAAAGATAAGAACCCAAACTTTTTTTTCCTCCATATTTTGTTAAGTTACCAATCATGCTTATATTCAGCAAGGACAGGCAAGTCTGAGCGCCTTAGCTCAACACAAACTATAAACATTAAGACAATGCTGCAATGATATCTTCTGGATCAATGTAAAGAACGGCCTAGTCAAAGTCCAAGCCCACATCCAGCAGCAGAGGAGTTAAATCAAATCACAGGAAGGCCCAAAGTCTTTAAGATGGACACATGGACAAACATTTTTTCATTTGCACATAAAGGCTCTAAAGTCAGTGGGAAATTTCAGGTGTGAAAGTGCAAAAACCCAATGAAAGAATAAATCGTATTGGTTGGAGGCCCCTAGGATACTCACTCGCTCATGTTGAGGGTGAGGCTAATATCCTCTTCCTTTGAAAAAAGCAGGATGAGGAAATGATATCGAGTCTGCCCTTGCTTGATGGGAGGATCCAGACTGATCTAGAAGGAGGGAAGGTGAGAAAAGTCAGAGAAGCTCTATGTCAGGAAAGCTAGGAGCCTAAAGAGGAGACAAGATGCAGAGGTTTACTCACCACGAAGAACATCTGCCTCTGGTCCTTGTGTGGCAGCAGGAAGAGACGGAGAACGGTGGTGTATGGAATCTTGTAGTCAAAAGTCTTACCGTGCAAGTGGAGGAAAGTGGGATAGATCCGAATGTCGTATCTGTAAGAAAAAGACCCAAGAGACATTAAAGGAAGGCAGAGCTTCACAATCAATGAATAAATCCAATTTTATATCCCACTTTTTTATCTATCAATATGTTTTCTTTGTTTGCTTAATGTCTACTATATATTTTATCCTAACAAGCCTAGATAATTATATATCTTCACTTCTGGGGGTTTGTAACCTTTACTACATAAAAAAGGGATAGAAGGAAAACACCCATTAATAGTTTCCTCTGTATTAATCTTTTGGCAAACACGTGGAAAAACTAGGATAAACATTTTAAACTGAATTATTTTCTGAGCTTGAGAGCACATATTTGAAAATCTAATCCAATCAATTTTTATTCATGAATGAACAAAACAAAATGATTTAATTTTCATTTTGATTAAATCAATCCTGCTGTTCTATTAGGTCAGAGTGTTTTTCTTTGTCATCCTGATGAGGTTGATCATGTGCACATGGTGTTTTGGATTGTCCAGAACTTAAAAATGGGAAGTTGAAGTGACATAATCTCAGAGGTTATTGTGTTCCAGTTTACCTCTGGTGGACTGGCATTCACTAACGTTTGTAGATGGTCACTATACCTACTGCTAGACCCATAAAAATGACAGAAAACTGTTCTTAGCATATGAAAAGCACTGACAATGTTCATTAGCTGTATGTCAACAACTGACTTAATGCAACATTCATAATAAGGAACTGATACAATGGTGTTGTGAGGACTTTCTGACTGAAATTCCACCTCTAGAGGCCTTCAAGTTGAATTTTCCTACACAAAGCAAGGGAATCCAGACTTCCTAGGACGAACAGAACGCACTGATAAAATACTCTTTAAATAAAATCTTTGTTTAATAAGTTGCAAAGATTCTTTTTTCGGACTGATTGGAAAAAGATTGACTTTTAGCTTCGGTCTTCAAATTTCTCTATTTTATATCTGGATGTGTTATTTACAGAAGGTTTTGTGTAAAAAGTAATAACCATAAACTGTCTAATAGCAATGGAGATTTCTGAAGGTTCCAAGAATCATGAGAGCTGGAAACAAAGATCAATCAACTCTATGTTAAGCTACTGGACGTTTAATGACTTAATATATTACTTAATATAATAGTAATAACAACCAGTATCCTTCATTCCATGCAGTCTCTGAAACAGTATTCTCACCCAGTCTTAATAGTACATGTTCATTTCAAATTAAGTTAAAGTTATCAAAGATGAGACTAAATATCAGTTCTTGTCATTTTAAGTACTTTTCTCTTTAAACCTTTATCCTTTAGAGAATAAAATGAGGAAGACAGTCCACATTTATCCATCCAGAAATGATAAAAACAAAGTGAGGATCAGATAAACACTTTGTTGATCTCCTACCTTCCCCTGGGCGTGAGACACTGAAGCTCCTTAAAGATACAAACTGCGTCTCCTGTGGCCTGAATCACATCAGCCTTAGACAGAACATTCTGGGCAAACGCCTGATGGACAGAAAAAACGTGTTTAACGTCAGCATCAATAAAACAAAACTAATCCACAGAAACTGTTCTGAATAAACATGATCAATGATCCGCCTTCGCCTTCACCTCCACAGGGTCTTGTCGTTCATCGGTCTGGCTGGGCGGGACGTAGAATCGGACCTCCATGAGAGAGACCTCCGTGTCGTCGTTCTGGTGAAACTCCAGCGTTACTTCGTTCTTCCCTGTGGCGCATTGGGAGACGTTGGACAGGGGGATCTCAAAGGCTGTGTTGTCATTGACGTCAAACGACAGCAGGGGTCCTAGAAGAGAAGAGAAAACAGTCAAGTGAACCTCTGCTGGGCAGCCAGAGGTCCAACAACATCCAGAACATGGGACATATGGGGCAGCTGAATATTTCACATTTGAAATTTCTTTCCAAACCCAAATTTCTATAATTTTTTGGCCATTTAATAAACAAAACCTCTAATTGGTTTATTACATCCAACAATCATGAAAAAGCTAAATGGTTTCATACCAACATTATGATACAGCTCTGGGGCAATTTCTTTTTATGCATCAAACTTCTTTAAAAGTCTAGATTAGGGCTGTAATAATTAATCTGATTAATAGGGATTACTCGATTGTTGAAATAATTGTCAACTAATTTAGTAATCGATTAATCGTTAACTGGAGTATAGTCTAAAATGTACCTTTAGCTGACAGAGGGACCCAACTCTAGCAGCAATTACATGAATAGAAAAGAAAATCCCTTTATTGTCCCACAACGGGGAAATTGTGGTGTTACAGGAGCAAAGGATTATAGTTTAAATGTAAAAGAAAAAGTGCTAACATTATGCATTTAAGATAAAAATCTTTTGCATCTGTCAATATGCTCTGTTCAGAACTCCTCAAGTGGTAAAATTTATTTTCACTTGGTTGTATTTAGCAAATAGTCTTCTTTAAGGAACCTTTTGCTGTCCGATTATCAATCGATGCATCGAAAAAATAATAGAGATTAATCGATTTGCAAAATAATCGTTAGTTACAGCCTTAGTCTAGATTAGACTTTTCTACAAGAAACTAAATCACAGTTTAGGATGCGCAGTTTCTTTTGTCCCTCTAAATTTACAGATAAATGTTTAGAACCGTGATCTGAAAGTAAGTAAAGACAAAAACAGCAGTGAGATAAATATGTTTTTTGTTTTTTTGTTTTTTATGAGTCTGCATTTAGCTGTAGACGTGGTCAAAACCAGAAGCAATCAGTGAATTAGAAATAAAATAAAGGAGAGCAAAGATTATATAAATAGAAATAAAAAGGCTTTTGTTTTCGTAGAATTAATATTATTATCTAAATCTAACATTTCTTCCTACTCAGGTGCCCATACTTTTAAATGCTTCATAGAAAGCATGTGTGCTCAACTTCAGAGACTCCATGCTGACTTGTTTACCTGAGAACTTGGCTGTCCCCCAGTTCCAGCCCTTCACAGACAGGTCTTTCTCTGACAGCTCCACCTTGTAGTTTACCTTAAAAAACTCTGATATCTTCTCAAAATCCTGCAGAATAATAAAATAAAAAAAAGATGGGAGGCATTAAGAGTAGAGAGGAGATGAAAACAAGAAGGGGACGCACTGACAGACTTCAGGGCAGTAAAAGCAGCAGCTGTTCATGGGTCACAGCCTATGAAAACAGCACCTAAAGGGAAGCAGAGATGGTGGATAATAAATCACAATGTGATTGTAACTACGCCGCAAGGGAACACAGGAGGTGGATGTAATCCATCCGCCTCGTCTGTCCTCCGACAATCAGTCCGTTTATTTATCCTGCAGGCTGGCTTACAACTGGAGAAGACTCACACACACAGCAACAAATACACGTACACACAATCCCAGCAGTACAAACACATGTGGAAGTAATTGTGACAAGCAAGTGTGTGAAGGGAGGAATCAGCTAATTTACGCACCTGGATATCTGCCTGTCCATACAGTTATTAGAGCCAATTAGAGGCCGGGAAGTGTGTGTGGGTGAGAAGGCTAAAGATCATCAGGATGTTTGTCAACCTGGATTAAAGAACTGTTTGGGCCATGTGTAAATAAGTGAGTAAATAAGTTAAATCAGGACCTGTTTGTTTTGGCGAAGCCCGTCTCCCTCGATCAAACACGCACATCTAAGTTTCAACACCCATATAAGCAAACATTTCATCATCATCATTTCTTTCCCTTAGGTTTCAAACAGCCAGATTAACTTAGATTCTTTTAAAGTGAACCCCATCAACAAATGTCCAAATATACGTCCAAGTTTTGGGGCTTTTAAGTTTTTTCCTTCTTTCAGGTCCACTCTTTGTACCCTTACAATAAGACCAGTATGACAAAAACATTTTATTAACATTTGATGAAACTATTTCTGTCAACTGACTCTCACCATTTGATACCTTAAAAAAAAACCAGCAATATAACAGTCAAAATAAACAAAGAAAATATCTTTTAACCCATAATATGTCCTCTGGACAATCTGAAGGACTTTTACTACCACTGATTTAGGTGTTCAGAAGCTAAAGTGTAGATAAAAGAGGATGCGACACAATGATGAACAAGGATAGAGGAGAAATGGCCCTGCTACTATATCGTAACATCAGACAGCTCTGTGGTAAAATAACCTATGAAAGCATAGTAACTATTATGGTGTAAAGAAACAATGGTTTTAATTCTGTGACGCAGTGATGTAGTATCTGCCATTAGGACGGTGGAGGAAGACTGTACCTCTGAACCCAACAGGAATCTACCAGGTTTTAAAGTTACAGTCTGGGCCGTCAACACCCTCCACACAATTAGATTTAGACAGATTTATTTGTCATTTTGTTTACACAAGTGTGAAATAAAAAGAAATTTCATTTAGAACAGCTCTCTAGGCAATTTCATTTTTTTTTTAAGTGCAGCCTTGAAAAATAGTAAAAAATATATAAAAACAGTAATTAGAGCTCAGCTATTCAACAGACTCTCTGGCAGAGATTCCCCATCTTCCTCATAGGGACGGATAAATCAGACTGTCAGCTCTGCACGCCACGAACTGAATCTCTCACCAATTCTGGAGGGCCGACACTAACTGTGTGATAATAAACAATGACATCATGGCGTGTCCTGCAGAACCAGAGGATCAATCTTCCCCACAAAAAAATATGCTGATTAACCCCAAGAGACATGTTGTACCAACATCCTCATCCCTGTTTAAGGGTTACGCGCCGCTGCTCCTCATACTTAGGGAAAAGATGTAGGGAAAAAAATGTATATAGAAATAATAATGAAAAAAAAAATGTCATGTCTATTTTCTGAGCTGAAGTGCTTCAGTAAACATAAACACCGATCAAGCAGTCAATGATTGCATAGTTTATAAAACATACATAATGCACTGATTTCCCTCATTAATCCAGTTAAGAGTTTGAAGGAGAAGATTGGACTGATTTTGAAACCTGACAGAAAGCCACAAGTGCTCATCTAAAGTTAAAATGGCAGAAAACACGTCAATGTTTTTTCTTCACCTATAACAGCAAATGAAGGGAGCTGTTTATCAGCAGACACTAGGCTTGTTTACGTGAACTTGAGTGCTCAGAGTAAAGGGCCAAAATAAAAAAAAGCAGTCACATAAACCCGCCTCATGATCAGATTTATTATCCCTTCATTAAATATTTTTTTTAAATAGAAATCGCTGCTTAACTCTTATATTAAAGGGATCCTTGACAAAAACAACTTTATCAAGCAGAAATGTTAAGCTTTTCAAGGGGAAAATTCTTATGTGCAGGAAATCTTTATAGCTTTATCAGACTGGGACTCTTTGAGACTGAATAGGTAAATACAAACACAGGACTTACCGTGTCCCTGAAACCGTCATATTTGTAAATGTGGCCCGTGCTGGTGCCAAGTTTGATGCCATGGCCCAAGCACACTCGCCTCCACTGAGCGAGGTTGAGCTCTCCTGCTGGGATGCTGTCAACCTTCCCAGTCTTGTTGCTCTTATACACTACATTCTGTTTGCTGAAGCGCAGGCGTCCATCATTCTAAGGGAAAAAAAAAAAACAAGAAAAAAACAAGACGTGTATTGAAATGCAGAGTACAATAACTACAAATTACTCCATCTGTAGTACATGGAGAGAGAGCAATCAAAATTCATATTTTTTGTAAATCCTTTTAAAATACAAATTCAGCTCTCTTGAAGAAAAGAAATAGCCTATATAGCCCAAAATTGGGTAGGAATGTGTCCTAAAATGTGAAAAAAGTACTTAATGCAACAGAAAAAGAAAAAAGGCCGGAAATTAAACCAAAGTGGTGTAATGATAATCCTTTTTTTTTGTGTACATATATACAGTATATAAAACCTCTTTTACTCTGATGCCCTTAAATGATTCTTGTACAACAGATCAAGGCAACAGGTCAGATATGAAGTCTCAAATTATTTAGTTACAGAATAATTATCAAAATATATTAAATAGTGTGTGTGTATATATATATATATATATATATATATATATATATATATATATACACACACATATACACTATATAGGTGCATGATGCAGATAAGGTGGTGCACAGAATCTGTAAACAACAAAACAAGTTGCTTAACAAATCTGTCCTTGAAAAGGGCAATGTTTTGTATAGAAAACAAACAGAGTGACATCACTTTGGTAGTGGTCAAAACGTTGTGTGAGGATTTATTTTTCCCTACAAGAGGGACAGAGATGATTAGGAAGAAGGTTGGAGCTAAATATTGTCACAGGACTAAACTGCATGAGTCCAGACCTAAATCCAACAGAATCTGAGACAAGGCTTTAAAATTGATCTTCACACGAATCAAAACAATATGTCCTTTTCAATTATTTATTAATCTGTGTTGGAGTGTCATATAAAAGAAGGATGATATACAATAAGGTAGGTGGCTGTAGTGTAATAAATGTTGAAAGGTCAAAGCTTATAAACACCAATAATCCCACTACCAGTGGAAATAAGTTCAAATGTAGTGTAGCTTCATACCCAAGAGCCTTTGACCTCCTGGTAGATGTCGTTAAACTCCAGCATGTCCCCCATGTTGGCTGATAACTGATGCTCTAGAGACAGATAATCAGATGTACACATGCGCAGCGATTAGGGAAAGCACATTCGACATAGGCACACACATTATCTGCTTTTCCTCATTATGAAATGTACCAACCAAATCATAGTTCTGAGAGTTCAGTGATGTAAATTTAAAAAGACGACAGTATGGCTTTGTTTCTAAACTACTTTAGATAGCAGTAGTTTGCCCTCTGTAGTTAGTCTAACCGGACTAAATTAGAGCTGTAATGTCGGTCAGTCTCTTCCAGGAGTAACATAGCCGCTAAGCTAACAGAAAGGATACAAGGTTCGCTTCTTTCGTGTTACAATGTCTGACTGCGTCCTGGGGGTTCACATATACATGCGACATGAAACGGCACGCGCAACATCACCGCCCAGCAGCGGCGAACTGTTCGGTTAAACGAGCGCACAAACAAGGCAACGCAAACGTGAGGAAAACAAATCACGAATTAAAGGTTTAAATAGCACACTAACCACTCTAACTGAAGCATATATTCACTTTGCACCCTTCGCTAGCTGTAACGAACAGTTAGAAAAATTTCTCTCAAGAAGGAAAACACCTTAATAAAACTAAAAACCTTACAATCACTTAGACGAGCTTCTGTTTCCCGCGTGTAGCATCAGGAGCTAGCGCTACGTCACAGGAAGCAGCAAGGGGAGTTCTTCTTCTTCTTCTTCTTCTCTTCTATTATGGCGGATCACAAGCAACTTTAAGGTGCATACCGCCACCTACTGTACATGAGTGTGTAGCAGCGTTACTTCACATCTATTAGATTCTATTTTTTAATTTTGTATTCTTGAGATACATAAACAATGCTTTCCTTAGTTTATGAATATCTGTTATGTTTCCTTCATTTCCTAATATTCCTTTAAGATTCCATTCATGCCCTATACTTCTAACTATTCTCTTTAATTTTTCCCTTTCGTGTTCATATAACTTACAGTTCATCAGTATGTGTTCTACATTTTCTTTTTCACCACATTTCTCACATTTCTCACTATTTTTCCTCCCTATTAAGTAAAGCATGTCATTTAAGTAGGTATGACCTATTCTTAATCTACTAACTATTATTTCTTCTCTTCTGTTTCTTTCATTAATGTTTCGAATTCGAACTGACTTTTGCACTTCATATAATCTTCTTCCTTTCCTATCTTCGTTCCATATTTTTTTGCCATTCCTCCATTTCTTTACTTTTAATAAGTGATTTCCCTTCCCCTTTTCCAAAAGGAATTGAAATCGTTATTTCCCCCTCTAAAGCCCTTTTAGCTAATTTATCTGCCTTTTCATTGCCTTTTACTCCTTCATGAGCAAGGGGAGTTTGTATTAACGTCCGGTTTAGTAAAAAAAAAAAAAGTTATTTCATTATAAACGTATAGTTACATATATATGTGTAAGGTAACTATATCAAAGAAGTAAATTATAGAGCAATTTAAATTTAAAAAACATACGCTGACTGTGTAGACCAGAGCAAATTGCAGTAACAATCACTGCCACACGAGGGCGCCCAATGACTCAGATAAGAAATCATCTATTCCTACATCCAAACTCCTAATCCTCATAAAAGCTTTAAAAATAGTACGAAACAAGAGCAAATGTTATCAATTATGTGTTTATTGTTCCGAGTCAGCAGTATTACGCTGTAACTCACTGTGTTAAGAAATATGTGATTTTTATTTTCATAAGTATGAGAACACAGCAAGTGAATTAGTTGGGATCTGGAGATGATTAATCTGTTGGGATTTAAAAGAAGCAACGATTGTGTGGTCAGGGTGGTTTTAAGATTAGATTTTAACTTGAACACATAAAAGAATGTAATAAAAATGTAGAAAAAAAGGTAAAACAAGCAGTAAAATAACCAACCAAATGGAGTATGTTCAGACGCGGGCCTAAAGGCCTGTCTTAAATCATAACGCGTTTAAGGCCCCCACCCTGTCAAGTGAGATTACCTACAGTCAGGGCTGCGCTCTCCTCAATAAATCTCCTGTTTCACAAAAAGCAAGAATAGAGTCCCAGATCTCCCTTTTGCTCCGAATAATCCACCCCTTAGGATCTCCAATGTCAGCTCAAATAAGGAGGCCACTTTATTCAAACGCATTCACCGCTTACTTTAAACGGATTTGTGGATTTATGCGTGATTAAGGAGGAATTTAACTAAAGAAGTCAGCTGGGATTATTTGCACGAGAGCACAACATTAAGTGAATATCTCACGTCGACAGATTTAAATGGTCAATGTATAAAACAGATAACGGAAATAGGCAATAAATACACAATACAACCTTTATTTATAATGTATAATTCAGTTTTAATCATTCATAAATTTCTGAGATTTTAAAATGAAACATCAGTTATTGATCTACCTATTTTTATATTTTTATACCTGTCTGATGCTGCGCTGTTGTTGGTAACTACCCTCAGCAGCCAATAAGTAATGATCTCACACTTAAAGGCAAATTCTTACCAAAAATAAATCCTGAAATATTATAATATTTATGTAATTAGGATAAAGCGGATGGGCTGTGCAATCCGGGCAGAAAACACGCAAACATGGAGGGATTAAAAAAAAAAAAAAATAAATACAATAAAAAAATCTAACCTATTGGTTTTGCTGTCACACATAAAATGAAATCGGATAAAAAAAAAGAAAAAAAAAGAAATAACACTTGTTGAAATTAATAATTTATTTAAATTTGAATTAAAATTTGTGTCAATATTTAAATTGGGTTAAACATTTATTTACTTATCTTGATAAATAACTTTAAAAAAAATATAAACAATTTAACAGAAAACCCCGTTTTTTGCTGTTAATATATTATGTCAAAGTTAGTTAAATTATAATAATTTATGCAATTTCATAAATAAAAATATGGACACATACATAGTTTATTTATATATATTTATTTTTTATAAAAGCATCAATGTAAACATTAATTAATTAATTATTTAATTAAGCGCGTGCGCGGCAATAATGGCTTGTTTTCTGTACAGTGGGATTAGCGGATTCCTCCTGGCCTGAGGGGAGCTGATCCAGGAAGACTTCTCGCCTTATTAAAGACCCGCAGATTAAGCATCAAACGGCCGCAGTCAGGCTGGGTTCTCCGGGATGACGAGCGGATGAGAGGCAGGAATGAGTTGTGACAAGTCCCGAGGTTCAGCTGGTGCGTCAACCCCGGTGAATCACCGAGGGAGGAGGAGGAGGAGGATAACGAGGGAAGAAGAGGAGACAGGGATGGAAAAGGAGGGCAGGAATGGGAGAAAAAGAGGAGGAGGAATCGGCTTGAAAAAGGCTCCGCCGTCATTCAGTCTGTCACACGGACCACACAAGTCAGCCAGAAAGTCCTGAGAGGCATTCATCATGTCTGCTTTAGATTTTTATTCCTAAAGAGGGACGAAAGGAGAACATCACCTGTTGCTTCATTTCCTTTTATTTTATTTTATTTTATTTTTTTTTTTCACAGAAAGCTGAACCAACACAAGAAAAAAAAAAGATAATTTTTTTTCATCACCAAGAACTGGATAAACAGATAATGAGAGGATTTTGTGGAGGTAAGAAAAATTTTATATTATTTATAATCTATAAAAGCAAATTTGGCTTCAATTCTAGTCTTCAAAAATGTTTGACTGCATTACTGGTTGTGATTTATGGACTTTTAAATTACCCTGAAATGCAGGTGTGTTTCCAGAAAGTCTTCTAGGGGTGGCCATGTGGGGGCGGCACTGTCAATATTAGGATGCAACTTTAAAACAAAAGTTATAACATTACACTTCTAGGAATTGAATCTATCCATGTTGTAATAGCTGGCTTGAAATGTAGATAGAAGAAAGGAAAATAAACTGATTTGATAGGTTAGAGCATTATTATTCTCTTCAAGCCCATATTAGTGGCTATGATTTTAAAATATGGCAACTCTGCTAAATTTTAACCTAAGCGTGCTGTAGGAATAAGATGTAAGAGAAGCCATGAAAGACAAATAATGATAATATGAAAAAAATTATGTTCAAATGAATAAATAAACAGATGAATAAACATATTTGCCTGTTCCTCTCTGAAGTTCTCCCTCGGTCACACCGCTTATAAGATTAAGGTAAAGCTGTATATCAGCTGCAAAAACCTAAAACTTAGCCACAAGAATGGATAAAAAGGTCTAAATTTTAAAATGATAAATTCTTTGTATGAAGCAATTTGCTGTTACTTTCATTTTTTTTTAAACTGTGAGAATAAAAAGTTATTGAAAAGCTGTCACAAAAAAGGGGGGGGGGGGGGGGGGGGGGGGGGGGGGGATTCCAGAAAATGTTAAAAGGGGATGACCATATTGGGGTTAACTAAATATCTTTGGGGTAGAATTCACAAATTAGAAGTAAATAGATTAATAAAACTTGTATCTAATATGTGCGCCTTAAATGTATGCTGATGAAAGAGGATAAAATGATATATAACAATATTTTTAAATCAGATGCGTACAGGTGGTCCCCTCTGGTCCCCCCTCAGTGGCACCACTGCTGAATAAAAATCATAAAGAATAACAGCGATAATTAAACATTGAATAAATAAAATAAAAGTAAAATAAATCATTTTAAACAGTTATAGGTTTATTTGATGCTGAAAGCAAGAGTTAAAGAGCTGCATACGTGACGGAGGTTGGAGGGGTCAGAGCAGCCAAAGCCCCCTGTCTAGTTAACTGTCACTGATATGAGAAAGTACATGATTCTCTTTAGTCAGGGTGTGAGAGGGGACACGCACACACACACACACACACACACACACACACACACACACACACACACACACACACACACACACACACACGCGTTTTCCTATTGGGATGGCTGCTGTTTCTTGACAACGAAAGCAAGGAAATAACTTCAAAAGGAGGTAAAGGAACAGCAGGAGGAGAATCTGTGCGGAAATCTTGCATTAAACACTTTTTTCTTCTTTCCACCTTCTCCTTCAGTTGGTCCATCTGGGTGGCCAGATGTTGGAAACCGCTAAACAATCAGCAAATGAAATAAAACTTTAAAAGGATAATAAATAAGAAGCAGATCTTCCTCCTTTGACACTCAGAACAAATAAATACATGAGGGCAGATTGCCTTTGACATTCAGAGCGTTTATCTCTCCAGGTAAAACCATATCTGAACGGCTCCCTTTCTGCCTGTGTCTTTACACTCTCACACAGTAAAAAAAAAGAAAGGCTGGGAGGCTTGCATTCGACTCGGTGTGTTTCAGATAAAACCTTTAGTGTGTCTTGGATCAGCAAGCTCCAATCAGAGGAAACAAAGGAAGCAGGAGAGACAGAGAGAGATGTGGAAAAAAGAAGGAGGATAAACTGAACCCCTTCACATCTTCTGATTCGCTCTGGCCAATTCTTCACGGTGCATACATGTCAGGAGGGTTTGTGGAGCGACGTGGTTACATGTGTGTGTGTGTCTGTGTGTGTGAGTTACAGGGAAGAGAGGCAGATAAAAGGAGAGGGGAAACTGGCTGCAGAGGGGTTAATGCAGTGCAGATTGACAGAAGTTAGGAGCACCCAGAGGGGAGGAGAGGGGAGGCTGATATAAAATGAGTCGGTCACGCTTTGAACAGTTACACATGCTGTTTACATTTTTCCCAAATTAACATGGCCCCTCGCTTCAGAAAACCCTCCCTCCCC